AGCTTAAATAAAAGGTTAAATAAAGCTTAAATAAAGCTTAAATAAAAGGTTAAAAAAAGCTTAAATAAAGCTTAAATAAAAGGTTAAATAAAGCTTAAATAAAGCTTAAATAAAAGGTTAAATAAAGCTTCAATAAAGCTTAAATAAAAGCTTCAATAAAGCTTAAATAAAAGCTAAAAAAGTCTTAAATAAAGCTTAAATAAAAGCTTAAAAGAAGCTTAAATAAAAGCTGAATAAAGGTTTAAATAAAGGTTGATTAAAAGCTTAAATAAAGTTTAACTGAAGGTTTTCTAAACTGCACCTGAACCACTTCCTGTTTGTCTGGGTAAACACAGACCAACATGTATTTAAGTTCCTGCTGCAGATCTGAGTTCAGTCCTGTCAGCTCAACAGTTTTTATTTTAAGAATTCTTCATTCTTAATGAAAGAGAATTAGAATTAATGTCCTGTTCTGCAGTTATTTATGAACAGGAAGTTTAAACTGGAACAAGCACCTGGACATGACTGAGCTTTCARCGTTCCATTAAAACCATGAAAAGGTTCGAATTCTTCTGGGTGTAAACTGTATAAATGAATTTCCTCTCAGGTTATCAGCTCTGCCCCTCGTGCACACACGCACACACACGTGCACACACAAACACACACAGGCTCACTGCTGCTGTATCAGGAGGAGGAGAGGTGTGGTGCTGAAGCGTCTGGCAGCTGTCTGCCTGTCAGCAGCACACGGGCCGGACACGAGCGGCTGAACGACGCCACAGACAGCATTTCAGAATTCATTCATCCTGCTGACTCAGCAGAAAACTCCCTCTGCTTTTCATGTCTCCATTTTCAAAACTGCAGGTTTCATCCAAACTTCTGTGTTCTCCTCAACTCTTACATGTTCATTCAAATAATGAAATGTTTTAATGTAACTTTCAGCTTCCAAAGAGAAGTTAAAAGCCTAAATAAAAGTTTTTAGCAGAGGTTTTTATTGCAGTAAAAAAAGACAAATCCTAGTTTTTAGTTTCCAGATGTTTGAGTTTGAAGCGTTCAGTGGAGCGTCTCGCTGAGGCTTTATGTAATCAATCAGTCACTTGTGAAGCGTCTGAATCACTGTGAACACAGAGAAATGTTGTGTTGCTGCTTCGGCTGACACTGTTGTGACATTTGTGTTAAAGTGATTTAATATGCATTTCATATAGATTAAACTATTTTACATAAATCATTATTACAATGAAGAATAAAAACTGGTATTGTTAAAATAGTGCATTAGTAAATGCTTTTATTTTGARGAGGCACTAAGGGGAAGTGAAAATCATGTTTGTAGTCTTCTGTGGTGCATTGGCAGCAAATTCTTCACAGTAAAATGTAAAAACAAGAACAGAGTCATGTTTCATAAAGATCCACATTCATGGCAGAAACCATTCAGTCCTTACAGAAAAGAAGTGAGTGAGGACGTCCATCACGCCCTGATCAAACTGCACATGTACGAAGAGAAGAAAACTGCTGACTCGGCTTTTCTGTCTCTGACTGAGCAAAATAAAAGCTGTCAAATTTAGATTATTTTTTTTTCCTGTTGCAACATAAAGATGTCCCTCCTGCAGAGAGCTGATGAAGAGTTTACTCTGAAATGTGCAGGATTTGTTCCTGCAGCTCTGAGAAGGACGGMTTGTGAGTTTTGGAAAATGCACCAGAGATTTCGGAGCTGTAACACTGAACGAACTATAATCTATCTTTTCACTTTGTCTAGTTAGAATGACTGAATGTGTCCCGACACGTTCTGRTGATTTGCTTCTGTTTGATTCAGAAACATCTGCAGCTCACCACACCAAGGATGACATTTAGAGCTGAAAGTCCCAGTAAAAGAAGACGTCCTGACTTGGTTTGTGTTGTTTCATTCAGAGTTTCTGTTTCAGTTCCTGTTTGGAGGTGGGGTTAAAGCAGCTTTCAGCAGCAGCAGGTTCTGTCTTTATGCATCGGGGAGAAAAGCAGCTTTTTGGCTTCAGTTGGTGCTGAGATGATTTGATTCCAGGGGCAGCAGATATCAGTGTTTCAGCCTGAACACGGCCTGGATTGAATAAATCCAGTGATGTGGGCGAGCAGCAGCTGCAAACACAGAATATTGAGTGGTTCCTAAAGACACAGTGTCTCCCACCTCTCACTCTCCAGGCCAGAGGATGAACGTGACAAAGCCGCCCTGTGAGCGTGTGGTGGGGAGAGGCAGGAGGTCCGGGCTGTGACGAGGGTCCGCTCGGCTGCAGGGGGGACGGCTCTTCTTCACACCTGAGTTCCCTGCAGCGTGCGTGCAGCGAGGAGCCTCAGCTTCTGTAAAACCCAGAAATGCATCAAGAAAGCTTCTGCTGATTAAAAAGCTTTTTAACAAGATCATCCTGGGTGGCTCCAACTGTCACTGACAGCACCTTATTGGCCAAGTGAAGTGCCTCTGATCCCACTTTAATAAATGTTAGCTTGTCACAGACACTAAAGCTGACAGAGTTTATCCCTCAGTTTATTACAAAATGCCAGGCAGCAGAACAACCATGACTTCATGTTGTGTCTCTGAGCTCCTCTTCACTGTCAAAGTTCAACAGATTCTCCTCTTTGACTCAGAGACACTCGGATCGAAACTCCTTCACTTTACACGTCGTGTTGTTTCTGTTTGAAAACAATAAAGTTTGGTTTAATAATTAGTTTATTTGTTTCATTTGTAATACAAAATTAACAAAGTTAAAAAAAAGCATACAATCAAAATGAAATGAAATAAAATGAAAGGCAGCAGAAGAAGAATAAATCTTATATCTGCCTCATTTTTGTCCCCAGAATATGATCAAAATGAAAGTAAATTATAACAATCAAAAAACTGAAAACACACAAAAAACAAAGCTAAAAATAAGACACCAACTCAAACAACAATTAACATGAATTCACTTATAATTCTCCATATTTCTTCAGAATACTATTTTTTAACATTCAATATATACAAGGTTCTGGCATTTTTAACCTCATCTTCCAGACTGTTCCGTAATCTGGATTAAAGTTGATCGCTCGTTCAGGCTCGCACAATCTCAGGGTTTCACAAACATTTCTATTCCTTTAAGATAATAACAGCTCTCTCTTTTAACAAAATTTTTCTGAATTTTGACATTGAATTAGAAATTTACCTGACATAGTGATGTAACATGACTCATCTGACCTCGTTTTGTGACCTGACAGGTAGAAACTGATAAAAAACTGTTGAATTAAAGGAAAATCTCAGATAAATAATCCCTGCAGAGACTTCTGTCCTTCCAGCTCAGCTCCAACCTCCTCTGGATGATGGAGGTCCTCCCCTCACCTCTACAACCTGACCCCCCCTACAGAGGCCTGACCCCCCTACAGAGACCTGACCCCCCTACAGAGACCTGACCCCCCTACAGAGGAAGACGCTTGGATTCAGGGTCTCATTTTCTCAGCCATGATCCAAAGTTCTGATGAAACTTGTTGACATTTGATCAGAAACAGATGAAACACTTTTAGAGATCCTGATGAACAAACTGTTGATCAGTCTGTGGAACAACACATCCCAGTGAACGTGTCACAAAGCAGCTAATAGTGTGGATGGCTCCAGCATTCACACTATTGTTTTCATGTTTCTCTTTATCAGTGTGCATTGCCAGTGCAATGCACACTATTGTGATTTGAATCCCATCCAAGTCATCTCCACTTTGCCATGCTTCTCCTCCTGCATACGTTGTCCTAGAGCTGCCATTGTAATTTATATCTGTAAAGCTCCTGTG